ATCTTGGGACGGGCTGCATTTGAGGAAGGCCAATCCCTTGGCAAAGTGGAGGCGAGTGGAAACAACGAGGTAGGGGCGGGCATGGATCCCCATGAACATCTCATGTTCGCTGTTAAGGCTTTGAAAGCCAAGGGACTGAATAAAGAGCAAGTCCTCGCAGTTGTTGCAAAAGCTGTGGATGACACTTTCGCTACTCAAGTTGGGGGCAATCTAAATCAAAGGGAACATCGGGAGAAGGGCTGTCATACCAGAGACGATCATGTTATCTCTAATCCTCCACTCGGAAGAGATCGGCAAACTAGGCCAGCACCTGCCAATCCCTTTGCTGGTGCGCCTAGTAAAAATCCACAAGCCTTGAAGTACCAACCTCGAGGTCGGAGGGTCTTCCATGCCCTCTATATGCCTTTGTCCAAAGCTCTCCAAATCCTTGTTGGACAAGGCCATCTCAAACCCCTTGAGCCTCGGCCTCTCCCGAACCCTCTTCCGGCTACACATGATGCTACCCAGTACTGCGCGTACCATCAACAAACTGGCCATACTACCGACGACTGCTTCCATCTTCGCCATGAAGTACAGGATCTATTTGACAATGGGGCCATCCTCCCGCCGAGCTCAGCAAAGTCTATCGGCACTGGATCAGTGAATTTGGGGAGATAATGTTATGTGATCGGGGGATGAACCAGCTGCGGGTGGCACTCGATTAAACTCCAGACGTGGGAATGGCATGCACTGTTCTGAGCAATATGCAAATACCAGTTTTTGTGCTTTCTGACTTGGGTATTGGGTCAGTCTTGTTGTGTCATACAGAGTCAGTCTTTTCTTACAGAGTCAGTTGGGTCTGTCTTGTTGTACCGAGTCAGTCCTGTTTTGTTAGAGTCAGGTGATTTCGGGGGTGTTACCTCGGGCATCACTGTTTTATTTTGTGTTTTTCTTTTTGCTTTCTTTTGAGTCTGTTTCTGTCTTGGAGCTAGTAATGCCAACAGATTTGAATGAACAGCAGTGATTTTCGCATTCTTGTGTTCGCTTCTGCCTTGTGCCAGTTGTGCCAGAAGTTCTGAATGAAACGGCAGTGCTTTTCACCTGCTTTTCTGTGCTTTGAAAATCATTGCATCGACCTAAGTTTTTCAAAACCTTTTGAAAATTGTGATGAAAACAAAGGGGAAGGAATTCCTCGAGATTTGTAAAACTTTGATCAAATTGAGAGAAAGAGAGGCGTGCTAAGCCTTTAATGAATGAAATCATGTTTGTTAACGTGAGTACTGAGAAGGATCCTAGCTTGATCCAGATTGGTTCTACATTGTCTTCCGCGCGAGCGATTAGTCGCTTTCTTAAAAGATTTCAAAAAAAAAAAAATGTTTTACGCGGTCCTGCGAAGACCTGTGTGGAATCGCTCTTGAGATTGTGCAGCTTAGGATCAAAAAAAAATATTTTGCGCAGTCCTGCGAAGACCTGTGTGGAATCGCTCTTGAGATTGTGCAGCTTAGGATCGCTCTCAGCCTTGAGACTCGACCCCCCTTCCCTTTCTGACCTTGAACCTTAACTCAGAATGTTCAACGGTCAACAGCAATGTGAGGCCTGTTTGGCCAGATTCGAAGCAGCCCTCGACCTAGGGGCAAAAAAATGTCAGATGTGCTTAGAGAGCCGAAGATGGATCATCCTGCAAATCAATGAAGACTAGCAAGAATGCTAAATCCCAGAAGAGAAGAAAGAAGAAAGTATTGCTGAAGAACAACTGAGTTCCTATCCACAACACTAGGGGCAAATTTAGCCCCCATGGGATGGATTCCTACATCATGAGCGAACAGCAGTCACTCTCCTGGATTTAGACGGATTCGAGATCTCAGAACCATTTGACATAGACCAAGCTACACTTTTACCCTTGAGAGGCTCGCTGGGCCGAAAACCCGGAAGGGCGACCCAAGCAAAAGTTAGAGCGAGAAAAAGAGAAAAGAAAAGAACAAAAGAGAAAAATGCAAAAAAAAAAATGAAGAAAATGAAAAAGATGAAAAAAAAAAGAAGAAAAAGATGGAAAAAAGAAGAAAAGAAATGAAAAAGAATTGAAGAATATAGCTCGCAAGGTTGAAAACCCGCAAAGGGCGGCCTTGGCAAAAGTTAGGAGTGCAAAAGGAGAGGTTAATACCCGAGTGTACCTTAACCCCGAACTACGTAAGGCTTGATTCCCATGTTTGGGATATGTAGGCAACTTTCATTTTGAAGTCCAGCCGTAAAACACTTCAAATTGACCGTGCCCATGTAATGGTTTTGATCATCTTCGTTTCTCTGTATCGAGAATTTGGTTTGTGTTCGTCACTTTGAGGACTGACTACAATGCGCTGCGGGGCCATTCAGACAAGGGCAACTTCCGTTTGCCATTCAATGCGCTGTTGGTGCCGTTCAAACAAGGGGCAACTTTCCGTTGCCATTCAATGCGCTGCAGTGCCATTCAAACAAGGGGCGACTGTCCGTTGCCATGCAGCTCCCCTCAAGCAAGGAGCAATTTTTCCTTCGAATCTGAGATTGTGCATCTCGAGAGTGGGTTCTATGCTTATTGAGCAGTGGTCGTTTGAAAAAATAGTTTTTGAGAATTTTTACTAGGTTGATTAAATTTTCTCTCAAAAATTATTCCATTTTTCCAAAACTGGACCATTTCTTGGACCAAAAAAGAAAATTTTCAATGCTCATAACCTGACTTGCATGATTTTTAAATCAGAAAATTGAACAAGCATGTTAATCGAACTCTCATTTTGGTCAAAATGTTCTCAGTAGGAAGCTAAAAACAAAAAAATGTCGAAATGATGAACTAGGGGCACAGTTGAGTCAGGTGTTTTGTCTTTTTCCTATTGCCACAATACTTGCCAAGAAGGGCACTCTAACCTGCCAGAAAAGGGCACAACTGAAGTTAACAGCAAAATGGCTGAAAGCTCTCTCACCCTCCGAGCAACGAGGTATCAAGCCAAGTGCGAAGCACGAACTGGAATGGATCAAGATATTCCACTCCCTCATCTGGACAGATCTAATCACGTCCAAACTCCAGCAGAGCATCGTCAACTGATGTCAGTTGTAGATTTGCTACACACCCAGTTGTAGCACAGCCCCTCTGTGGGAGAAACTCACTAGCCATGTGCAGAAGAAGAAGAATCTAGCGGAATGCTAGGGGCAAGAGCCCACAACTTTCTGTTTATCCATCAACCACCCAAGGGAGGGATTTAAAATGAGAGATTGAAGAATAGAGAGGTGTGCGTTGAGAGAAAAGTGAGGAAAGGGCTTTTTCAGAAAAATAGAGCTTGAGGGCCGAGTGATGTGAGAATCACAAATGAGAAAGGGTGGGAAACAATACCCGGAGAAACTGGCTCCTCGTGCACCGAGAGGTCTCTCACCTTTATAACACAGCTGAGTGTTGTGTTTGTGCGTTTTGTTTGTCTCGTTTCTTGTTTTAAGTCGTTTGAGTGTCAACAAATGTGTTTAGGTCATTTTACCTTGTTTTTCCTTTGTTGAGTTATGTTTAGGTCGTTCTACCTTTGTTTTCCATTGTTGAGTCGTTTTGGCTATGGTCAGTTGTAGGCTCAATACCCGGTTGAGAACACTTTTCTCATTTCAATTCAAAAATCGTTTTGTGCTCAGAGTGCCGTGTCGTTCTCCACATTTGTGCAAAAAAGGATCAGTTCTTTCATAAAGCCGCAGGGTTCAACCCAGGTCATGTCAAAATAGTAAAACAAGGACCTATCTAAGCTATTTAGGTTCCAAACTGCAAAGCAAAAGAAAAGAGGGAAAATTTGGAGCATCTTAGCATGTTTCAACTTTAGCAAAATCTGAGACTACATTCCAGGTGCACTTCTCAGGCCTCGCTGTTTCTCTGGAGTATGAGTGTATCTCGACCCCAAGTGTAAGCCTGCTTCAAGTCAGAATGGCAGTCCAAGCAGCACCCGAGGGTTTCACATGCAGATGTTATCTCTTGCCAAAATGAACATGGTGTGCCCTTTTTGAGCTGAGTGAGTTGCGAAGCCCTCTAAGAGGCAAATCAGAGGCACCAGAGTACTATTTTGTGCTCCCTATTGCGTAGAATGTGAACTTCATATACACTGTTGTTGCATGCGTGCCGCGCATCGTTATGATTCATGCATAGAATATGCTTGCTTTCGATTCCGTATAGAATATGCTTTGCTTGTTTCATGCATAGAATATGCTTGCTTTCAATATTGCATAGAATGTGCTTCCATACTTGCATAGAAAATGCTCGTATCTTTTGCATGGAAAATGCCCCCATACTTGCATAGAAGATGCATTTTATCGCACTTTCTTGTGCATTTTATCTCGCTCGCACTGTCTTGTGCACTTACACTTTGTATCTCACTAGCACTGTCTTGTGCATCTTGTGGTCGTATCTCACTCGCACTATCTTGTGCATTTCAAATCACTCACGCTGTTTAGCGTATCGCGCTGTTTAGCGTATCGCACTATTTTGTGCATTTCTAATCACTCGCGCTATTTAGCGTATCGCACTGTTTTGTGCATTTCTAATCACTCGCGCTGTTTAGCGTATCGCACTGTTTTGTGCATTTCTAATCATTCGCGCTATTTTGCGCACCTCAATTGCACTATTTTGTGCAGTTTATCATTCGCGCTATTTTGCGCACCTTCGTCGCACTGTTCTGTACTGTTTATCACTCGCGCTATTTTGCGCACCACAATCGCACTGTTTTGTGCAGTTTATCATTCGCGCTATTTTGCGCACCACCATCGCACTGTCTTGTGCATTGCATTTGTCACGCCCCAAACCCGCCCCTAAAAGTTTGGGCATGACCCGTTTGAAAACGAACACTTGACCTGTAGTAAATAACATATGGGGCCTCATCGGAAGCAAAAAGTAGGAAAATAACTATACATATAAATTCCATTGAGCTACATCTACATGCCAGGACCTCTTATACATCACATTCATCGTGGAAAATAGATAAAGCTCCAAACCATATGTTGTAGCATCGGCGATAAACAACCATATGTACAGACCCAGCCCCATCATTGGGCTTATATAAAAATCATTGAAGTTCTACCTCTTTAACTTTAAATGGGTAATCAAAATTAAGCCAACATTTCAATAGACTTTACAAAAATAAATGGCTTCGTGCAGTGCCTGAACCCACGATGGTTGACAAAAGAAAACGGGTGTCATGACTAGGGCTGACCACTTGGTTGGTTACCTACAGAAGCATACATTAGACAGAGTGAGCCAAGCTCAGTGAATAGTAATACATAAATAAAACGATGCTTAAATTGAAACATAACACATAGCAATGCTTATAAAGAAGTAGAGTTCACATAGTTAGTCTGATTCTGTGCTACGTACATAACGGCCTTAAGTTCAATCTTGCAACATAAACATGGTGGCTATAAGCCCTTGAAACATGGTGGCACGAGGCCCTTGAAACATGGTGGCTAGAAGCCCTTGAAACTTGTGGCACTAAGGCCCTTGAAGCATGTGGCAAAAAGCTGTTGTAACATATGGCACTAAGGCCCTTGAAGCATGTGGCATAAAGCCCTTGTAACATGTGGCACTAAGGCCCTTGAAACATATGGCATAAAGCCCTTGTAACATGTGGGACTAAGGCCCTTGAAAAGTTGGCATGAAGCCTTTGGACATGCATACATGAACCCAAGAGGTGTCTCACACGGACTCTAGAGGTAACTCACAATGTAGCACTTAGTTCCGTGTAGCACTTTGTTTCATTTCATAACAACTTATACGGATGGCTATAAGCCTCATAACTTTCACATATGTATGGACTCAAGAGGTGTCTCACATGGACTCTAGCGGTGGCTCACAATGTAGCACTTAGTTCCAAGTAGCACTTTGTTCCATACCAATAATCATTAGGTCTTACAGACCAAACCATACATGTAATGTCATACCTCGGAAATAAATTCATACATATGCATTATGCTTGAATCATAAATAGAAATCAGAATTCATACTTGCTTATACTTGGCACTGTAATAGTGCTAGCAAATCAATAATAAGTATTTTTTTTTTTTTGTTCGTTCCATAAAGGAATCCCCCAACATTGTGAACTTGTAGCATACTTGAACATGTACATACATAAACTGGTAACATACGTAAACTTGTGACAGACTTAAACTTGTAACATATGCTTGAAACATACCTGAACATACTTGAACTTGTAACATACTGGAAATATGCCTGAAACATACTTGAACATCATTCATTAATTCAAACGGAACATATCATAACTAGAGCATTTCTTGTTGTATCGTGTCATTATCGTACACTTAACAATGAGAGACTAATTCACATTCTCATGAGGGTCACATAATGATGCTAAACTTTGCACTTATATCGTAGATTCTGGATCACTTCCAATTCATAAGCAACATAACAAATTAACTTCAATTCATCTGGATACATGTAGCTACTCTTATATTTACTCAGAATCCATTCTTCAAGAATGAACATAAGCTCTTTTGGGTAAATGACTTACTTTACGTGCTCTCTTATCAATAGCATACACCTTTGTTTAATCATTCTTATATGTTAACATAGTTGCCTTGCCTTGTAATTAACGTAGTCCTAATGGTAACTGTTACATCATTCCCATGAGTTAACGTAATTAACGTAAAGTTAACAGGACATTCCTGATAATTAGTAACGAAAAGTAAGTACATTCTCATTAGATTATAGATGACTTTATTGGTTTCATAATTTCACAGTTCAGCCCTTGGCCTGAGGGGTTCACACAATCACAAGTTCCTTTGATGTTTTCATAATTCCATAATGTTTCTCACATAACATACATAACTTCATAAACTTTTTTGAAGTTTCTATAATATCACAGTGTTTCTCACATAGCATTCATAACATTTATGTCAACATAATTCTTACGACGAAGATTTAACATCAATAACGATAAATGGTTAAAGGTACATCAAAGTACTACTACTCACAGTGATCGGTTCCCGGTGGTAATGGTACAATGTCCTCGTCTCGACCTACAATTACAGTGCACAACACATAATATGAGGTTATACTCGATCCTTTACTTATTCTCTTTGATCGTTCAATCAATTAGTCATGGTGGTACCAAGCTCATTATTCTTTAATATGTTGTAATCCATGTCTTAGAAAACAGGAGAAATCGATAGGAAATGGTTTAGGTGAAGAAATGGTACATAACTAATTGACATAACGTGAACAGTCGTCACTAATTTGGATATAACTTTTTCTGTATTTAGAATTTTGGAGTGAGACTAGCGCCATTGGAAACTAGACTTCCGGGGCTTGATTTTAGGCTCAAGAATCACTCAAAACGGAGTCCGGATGCAAAAGATATACCTATTCAAAGTTAGCTGGACAGAGCTGTCTCCGCACGTGCGGGTGAACAGTGCCGCACGTGCGGCCCTGGACAGCAGCAGTCCGAAAATGGCCGAAATTGTGGGACTTCTCATTTTCAAAAATCAAACCTTAATTACATGTAAATCAAAGCCCAAAACCCTTTAATACATGACCAATTTCACATTATTATTCTTCATCAAACACCATAATCTCACAATAAACAAATTTAATGATTTTACTTCTTCAATCAAGGAATTCTTAGAAAATCAAGGTTCATGGGTTCAAAGCTCACATCTTCTATATCAATCCATGATTTCAAGTAGTAGATGGATTCTATACAAGGTTAGTAATTAGAGCCACATACCTTACCCAAACCTTTGTTCATCCCTTAGTCTCTTTAATTTTTCCCAAGCTTTTGGTTGATCTTTTCTCTCTCTTCTATCTTCTTCAACCATCTTCAAGCTTCCATGGATGTTGAATTCCTTAGGGAGAAGCTTTTCCTCTTCTCTCTCTTCCTCTCTCTCTCTCTCACGGTTCTCCTTCCCATTTCTCTAGATATTTTTATTTTTTGTTTGGTTCAAAATAGATGAGTTCAACAACTCATAAGGCATATATGCATATATAAAAGCTTTCCACAAATAGGAAGGGCCAAACACGCCCTTACGAATCGCACAAAATCACATTTCAATTAAACTTCCCAGATAACTCTAAAAATTATGCGGATCATAAATATGTCCCCTGTTCCGGTATCTGAAGTCTTTAAGACCTTTAATTTGCAGTATAAAGTTAATCACCCAAACGTCCATTAACGAATCAGACAAATTAGATTTCAAATTAATTTTCCCAAATAATTCCAAAAATTCCCATTAACGTATCCAAGTACTCAATTTTGATTTTTGAACCCATAAAGGTTGGTAATTCCCATTTTAAGTCCGTAACTCAACTAATAATGCTTCAATTCTAATAGATATAATTAAATTAAACCACATCATTTCATAAGGAAATAAAGATGATTTCTTATACGCATTTTGGGGTCATTACAGCATTCATCGCGCTATTTTGTGCTTTGCATATCACATCGCACTGTCTTGTGTATTTCAAATCAATCGCGTTGTTTAGCGTATCGCACTATTTTGTGCATTGTATCATTCGCGCTATCTTGCGCACCTCACCTACACTTGTTAGTGTATTGCATCGCGCTATCTTGCGCCGTGACCATTACTTGCATTGGGTATGCATTTTATCGCGCTATCTTGCGCACCTCACCTTTGGCATCGCACTGTTTTGTGCATTCACTCTACTCGCACTGTTTTGTGCACCTTTAGCTCGCACTGTCTTGTGCACTCACCTGGTCCAGGAGACCTTAAATCCTTCGGTCTAAGGAGACCTTAAATCCTGCATCATCATTCGCGTTGTTTTGCGCATCGCACTTGCATTTATTCGCACCGTCTTGTGCGCTTTCTGGTCTAGGAGACCTTAAATCCTCTAAAGGTGCAATTCCTTTGGTGTTTGTCGTGCCCGAACGACTTCCAGTAGTCTGGTATAGCCACCTGCCTGTGTTAGCAGTGAGTTCCTAGGAGATCAACTGAGACGGTGGAAACTAGAGTTCGAATGGCTCTTGCCTAGAACGCAAAGATTCAGGATTTCCGAGACTAAAATCTGGTTTAAATACCCAGGGGTATATCCTCGGCTTGAAATCTGTATGGCAGCCCCATAGATTGAGATAGCATATGTACGCGCCTCAACTCTGGATACTGAACCAACCTAGTCTATCACCCTGTTAGAGAATAGGGAAAGCTGCGACCATAGTCAGGGAGAAAAGTAGTACCTGTGGCTTAATCAAAAAGAAGCGAGAGATCCCCAGCAGCATGAGGCACGATATTGCATGTACGGTTCATTCGAGGCTGGAGCGACCAGATGAACCGCGCAGGTATTGTATTTTCTCCGTGTGAGACGTGGCGAGAATTGAATTATTCTCCGCATTCTTAACTGCATGAAATGTAGTTGTTGCTTTGCATTCTTGTTTAAAACTGTTGCATCTATTGTGAATATGTGCTTCATTACAGCTTGCTGCATTTGCATGATCGTTGAGGTACTTTCGGCTTCTTGCATTGTCAGTTGCATTTTGCCCCTGCCTGCGGGCATGCCTGCGGACACATCTCTGTTTGTCTTGCCTGTTTGTCTGAGTCTTCGGCCTTATCAAAAATGGGTCGTCTCTGGGCTTTGACTTTCACTCCCGTCACTTATGACTTCCGAGTTCTGTCAAAGAGAGGCAACTGTAGACACCCCATTTTTGACCGACCTTAAGACTCAGACGTCACTGATTGAACGCTCGGTGATATTGCATATTGCGCTCGTTCAGAAGTTTCAGAGTCCCGGCTGCAAGCCTTGCCTCGATTTGCGAACTAGGCTCTATTTTCTCTGTTTTCTCTTCCCGAAGGGAGGGAGAGGTCTCGTAGACCATCTCTCAGTGGCCGTAGGCTACGTTTCACGGTCGTAGGTCATTTTTCCCGTTTGGAGCCCGGTTTCCAGTTTTTCGGAGCCATCGGCCGTGTGCCTCGGTTCGGGACCGCTTAACGACCTCCGTTTGCTCCGATTTTTGGCATACATCTTATTTCCTCCCTTTTGAGGGACACTGGGGTCCGAGAGACCAACTTCGTGGTCAAACGCCACCTCCGGTGCTTAACAGTCAGTTTTCGGGCCCCCAGACCGCGTGTTTTGGCCCCCGAACCTTCGTTTTGCATCGGTTTGGGTTCATTTTTGGTGGAGACCTTATTTTCATAGTTGGGAAGCTTGTAGGAGGGTGGGAGGCCAGCAATTGTTCCAAAAAACCAGTTTTATTTCTTCATCGCTCTCCGACGCCCGTTTTCCTCACTTAAAAGCCAATGTTGACCACCCCGGGACCACTTTCTTGAACCCTAAATCCCATATTTGTGATGTACACACCTGGGAGACCACCAATATTTGGTGGCCGACCAGTAATTGTTCCTGACCCTTTTGACCCCCTCTAAAAAATAGTCTTTTCTCTCTCCTGGTTCACTTTTTTCTGGGTTTCAACCACATAGTTGTGTTGTGCACACATGGGAGACCACCAATATGAGGTGGCCGACCAGTAATTTTGCTTGACCCCTTTGACCCTTGGTCGGCCGGCCATGGGAGGCGGTCGGCCGACCACCTGAACCCCCAAAACCCGGCCGGCCATGACCCCCACACCCTGTTCCTTCCAGCTGTGACCTTTTTTTCCTCCCAGATCCTGTATCCGAGGGGGACCCGTTTTGGGGGGAAATTTGAATTCATTTCCCCCCCTTTTTCCTCCATTGTTTGCCTATATAATCAGCCCCTCAGCTGCATCTTTGGGGGTTACAAAAAATTGGTTCAAGACCCTTGCACTTAATCTCTCTCTCCCTCTATTCCAACCCTCAAAACCCCCTTAATCCTACACCATCTACCCTACACCTCATAGCACAAAGCCTCCATCTTCCATTCTAGCAATTTGAGGCTGTTTTCCAAAGGTTGAGAGCCACCAAACTTGGTCCAAGAGTTGTTGAAGACATAGGCTACAAGGGTAAGTCTCATTCTCCCTCTTTCTTGCCTTATTTTGCTCAATATTTTAGCCCCTTTTGCTTGCACTTTTGGGCTCCGACCCAAACTGTAAATAGTCATGTTTTGAGGTCTTTTTCATGTTTGATCAAGGGTCTTTTGTTATTTGAGGCTCCCTTCTTTCTCTTTGTGTTTAAACCCTCTTTTAGGCCTTATTTTTGCATAGTATTTTTGGCCTATTTGTGAGTTGTTTCAGACTTTCCCATAAACTGTAAAATTTCTTGTTTTGAGCCCCTCTTCAACATTGTTGAAGGGCTCTCCTCTATTTGAGGCCTCCTGCTATCACTCGCTTCTCTATCTCTCTTTTAGGCCAATTTTTGCATAGTACTTTAGGCCTATTTGTGAGCTGTTTTGAATCTTTCCATAAACTGTAAAATCTCTTGTTTTGAGCCCCTGTCCAACATTGTTGAAGGGATCTCCACTGTTTGAGAACAGATGCTGCCCCTTTGTGTTTAATCCCTATTTTAGGCCCTTTCTTGCATGATAGTTTGGCCTTATTTGTGATTATTTTTGTGGCTTGATGTAAACTGTAAAGTTCCTTGTTTTGAGCACCTCTTAAACTTTGTTGAAGGGCTCTTTTCCATTTGGGGCCAGCTGCTGTCCCTTTGTGTTTAATCTCTCTTTTAGGGCCATTTTTGCATGATAGATTAGCCCTATTTGCATTCATTTTTGGGACTTGTTATAAACTAGAAATATGCATGTTTTGGGACTGTCTTGCATCTTTCTTCATGCTTCATGATCAAATAATGCATGTTTTGTATAGCTATAGGCCAATGCGCATGCCTAGTTTTGTGTTTCAGGTTCATTCCATGCATCGGGTGCCATGTTTCCATGTTTCGGGGCTGTTTTGTATCATATTTCAGTGCTGAAACATGCATGTTTGTATGCCATATTCCATGCCTTGCCATGTCTTGTTAGAGTGGCATTTGTGCTTTAAGATCGGTCCTCGATTTGCGTGCATGTGTGCACGCATTTCAAGTGTCTCATTTTCACCTTATTGGCTACTGATGTGAGTGTGGCTGAGGTCCACTCACGTTGGTGTAAGTTCATCATGCATTGTGTATGCCATTTCATTTCATAGCATTGTGTATGCTAGGTTATATGTTAGCGCATTGTGTATGCCATGTTACCTCGAGCATCGTGTATGCCATTCCATAGCATTGTGCATGCTAGGTTGTATATTAGTTGCATTCATGCATGTCATGCATTTTGTATTGTGCTTGGGATAGGAGTTAGCCCGAGCACGGGAAACGAGGGACGTTTCGTACTCCGAGTGACAGAACGTGTCTCAATTCCTAGTCACCGACACTCCGGATTATCCATGATGGAGTCTCAGTCTTGTTGTGTTTATGTGTGCATTCATTTCATATTAAGTCGTGCAAATCGACTCCTCGGCCATCATGCATCGATATGTGTGATTGGTGGCACGAGGATCGAGGACTACACTCCCTGAAGAGTAGTCATGTATACATATGTGAAAATACTTTGCCATGCCCCTTTGTTGCTCTCTGTTGCAGCAAATCAGAAATCAGCAGCCTTCCGGAGCCTGGTGCGCATCTTAAGAATAATTGCAAACAGAGGCTAATTGGGGCATCGCAATGGATTTCCGCGCAAGGCAACCCGAACATGCATCATTCATCATCTGGAGCAGAGTTGAGGCAGTCCCTGGCTTGCATGCCAATTTATTACTTTTCTAATTCAATTCATTAATTAATTAGGGTTTTGTACATATTCAGACTGTAATTATTTGGGACTGTATATTATTTATTCGGACCCTCTACGCGAGGGCACAACTGTAATAAGTGTGCGTGTGTGTGATGTATGTCTTCCAACCCCACGTCTTTCTCCCTTTTATTTACCCCCTTATGATTGTTAGATTAGGGCATGTTTCAATTAGCATACAGTATGATAACATGTTTGCATTCATTCATCTGTTTTGCATGCACTGGGCTCGACGCATCATACTAACTGCATTGTATTTTCAATT